CTGCTACAAAAAACCTGGCACAAAGCCAATCGTTTACTAACTGATAAGCCTCGTATTATCGTCGACAATCTAATATATTTACTATAATAATTTTGGTAGGTATTTCATCTGTTAATATTTGATTTATTTACGCAACAGATAGGGTATGTGAACACGAAATTCTTACAATTAGCTGCGACATTGGATTTGTGTACGTGATGGATGCATCATATGGACGCCGTGACGAATCTGATTGTCAAGGTCCCGTTCAACCCGAACATTCTGACTGCCATGCTTCAACCAGTTTTGATGTTGTGTCTGCCGCTTGTGAAAATAAACCATCTTGTAGTGTGCTTGCTGAGAACGACGTGTTTGATGACCCATGCCCCGGGACCTTCAAATACCTCGAAGTGACTTATAGCTGTGAGTTGAAATGATCCAATTCTTATATGCAATAATAGTTATAATAACCTTTATTGAAACTGTATCCCGGTGTGGGATATTGGTAGAAAGTACGATAAAGTGACAACGGAAAAAACAGCACTGAAAATATGAACATCTTCTAGACATTTAGCGTCTGTCATGGAGTTGATTTTACTGGAAATTATAGTTTTAATCATGTTTTCTTGTGCCCCTTTTAAACGATGATATGCCGATATGCCCCAGATACCCCCTTCCCTGTTGCAAACTGCCAATTTATTGACGCAGTCGGAGAAGTGAAGCAAATATACTTACAAAAAATACTGTACTACGACCCAGTTGTCAGTGCATATGACACAGAGAATATTTCTCGAATCTGGTGGTTGTTTTAAATCTATATAATGCACATATAGTTAATGTATTTCTAATTATATATTCAGGTTTTGTATCAAATGTTGATGACACCGCACCAGGTACGATATTATCGTCATATACATATACACATATACATATAGAGAATTTTGTTTCATATTGCAACTTGATAAGAACTTCATAAAGGGTTGATTTATTGTAAAATAAAAAGAATATTTTGCCTGTAAACATGATAGCAATAGTCTTTCCATGAAATACTGAACACATGTGTTTGTGATTACCAAATACGTATAGGTAAATCCAGTCATTGAAGTATACAACACTTTATCAAACGAATACTTCCATGTTTTGTTTTTCAGAATTTATTTTATGAAAACTCATAACCTAATGTTTTTTTTAATCAACTTTTTTTCAAACATACTCAAAATACTCAAAGTTATACACACTGTCTCTTAAGTAAACTACTACCACTACGTCTATGTTTTAGCTTTCAATCCGTTGCTGTATGTACACGTAGTTCTTACCTGAACAATGTTGCACACAAACTATATGATTACACAGTATTAGTATATCAACTATAATAAACAAAATGGCTCAAAGTGCATTAACTTTACATCAGCATGATTTTGTTTTTATTCAGGTGATTATTAACACACGGAATTGAATAATAGTAAGTTATAATCTATCATATTGAGGTGTTAAATTAAAACAAGTCTTCGAAAAGTCACACCATTACTATTCAAGTATTCAAACCCATAACTAATGTATCAGATACGGGCATCGTATTTCATGTAAAGTACATTTTCCTGTCTCCGAATATATCAAGTTTCTGGACTTTGGGGTTTCATGTTTTTTCTTAATATTGTTACGTGATTAGACCTTTGTTTTGGTTTTATACCAACTTCATTCCTTTTACTTCCCACTCATGAATGCAAGTAAGCAATATACATCTTCGAATAATTCATAACCGATCTTAGACAGTTGTACTTATAATGTACAGAAAGGCGGACAATGCAGCCATAATCTAAATTTGTGTTCAGATAGTATTTTAAATACATATATATCTCTATGTTTGCAGGCTTTGGTTGGTGCCATACCTAGAAGACTTACACATAGAGAAATAAAATTTAAAAATAGCAATACTCCACATTGTTTTGAGCGTTATATAGTTTGGTCAGTTTGTTGAATCAAGCAGAATGAAAGGATAACTGGAACTAAGAATAAATGTGCGTCCGTGCGAGCGCGCGCGCGCTGTGTGTGTGTGTGTGTGTGTGTGTTAAACCCTGTCCTGGCGATGATCCTAGATTTGTTAATAAAGGTTTTGCCATAATCGCATTAATATTTCAATATATACTACGTAATACCAAACGAATTATTTGAATAAGTTTATTTCCATTGCCTCCCAACCGAAAGTCATATATGTTAGAGGTTGTGGCTTATAATCTGCATATGAATGCATGTGTGACATTTACAGTCTCCATGTGAATATATGTGTGGGGTTTACAATCCCCATGTGTATACAAGCGTGGCAGTTACAATATCCATGTGACTACAAGTAGGCATTTATAATCTCCATGTGAATATAGGCATGGCGTTTACCATTTCCATGTAAATATAGGCGTGGCGTTTACCATCTCCATGTGAATATAGGTGTGGCGTTTATCATCTCCATGTAAATACAGGCGTGGCAGTTACAATATTCACGTGACTACAAGTAGGCATTTATAATCTTCATGTGAATATAGGCATGGCGTTTACCATCTCTATGTGAATATAGGCATGGCGTTTACCATCTCCATGTAAATATAGGCATGGTGTTTACCATCTCCATGTGAATATAGGTGTGGGGTTTACAATCTCCATGTGTATACAAGCGTGGCAGTTACAATATCCATGTGACTACAAGTAGGCATTTATAATCTCCATGTGAATATAGGCATGGCGTTTACCATCTCCATGTACATATAGGTCTGGCGTTTATCATCTCCATGTAAATACAGGCGTGGCAGTTACAATATTCATGTGACTACAAGTAGGCATTTATAATCTCCATGTCAATATATGCATGGCATTTACCATCTCTATGTGAATATAGGCATGGCGTTTACCATCTCCATGTAAATATAGGCATGGCGTTTACCATCTCCATGTGAATATAGGTGTGGGGTTTACAATCTCCATGTGTATACAAGCGTGGCAGTTACAATATCCATGTGACTACAAGTAGGCATTTATAATCTCCATGTGAATATAAGCATGGCGTTTACCATCTCCATGTGAATATAGGCATGGCGTTTACCATCTCCATGTGAATATAGGTGTGGCGTTTATCATCTCCATGTGAATATAGGCATGGCATTTACCATCTCCATGTGAATATAGGCATGGCGTTTACCATCTCCATGTAAATATAGGCATGGCGTTTACCATCTCCATGTAAATATAGGTGTGGCGTTTATCATCTCCATGTAAATACAGGCGTGGCAGTTACAATATTCATGTGACTACAAGTAGGCATTTATAATCTCCATGTGAATATAGGCATGGCGTTTACCATCTCCATGTGAATATAGGCATGGCGTTTACCATCTCCATGTAAATATAGGCATGGCGTTTACCATCTCCATGTGAATATAGGTGTGGGGTTTACAATCTCCATGTGTATACAAGCGTGGCAGTTACAATATCCATGTGACTACAAGTAGGCATTTATAATCTCCATGTGAATATAAGCATGGCGTTTACCATCTCCATGTGAATATAGGCATGGCGTTTACCATCTCCATGTGAATATAGGTGTGGGGTTTACAATCTCCATGTGTATAAAAGTGTGGCAGTTACAATATCCATGTGACTACAAGTAGGCATTTATAATCTCCATGTGAATATAGGCGTGGCATTTATCATCTCCATGTGAATATAGGCATGGCATTTACCATCTCCATGTGAATATAGGCATGGCGTTTACCATCTCCATGTGAATATAGGCATGGCGTTTACCATCTCCATGTAAATATAGGTGTGGCGTTTATCATCTCCATGTAAATACAGGCGTGGCAGTTACAATATTCATGTGACTACACGTAGGCATTTATAATCTCCATGTGAATATAGGCATGGCGTTTACCATCTCCATGTGAATATAGGCATGGCGTTTACCATCTCCATGTAAATATAGGTGTGGCGTTTACCATCTCCATGTAAATACAGGCGTGGCAGTTACAATATTCATGTGACTACAAGTAGGCATTTATAATCTCCATGTGAATATAGGCATGGCGTTTACCATCTCCATGTGAATATAGGCGTGGCGTTTACCATCTCCATGTAAATATAGGCATGGCGTTTACCATCTCCATGTGAATATAGGCATGGCGTTTACCATCTCCATGTAAATATAGGTCTGGCGTTTATCATCTCCATGTAAATACAGGCGTGGCAGTTATAATATTCATGTGACTACAAGTAGGCATTTATAATCTCCATGTGAATATAGGCATGGCGTTTACCATCTCCATGTGAATATAGGTGTGGCGTTTATCATCTCCATGTAAATACAGACATGGCAGTTACAATATCTATGTGACTACAAGTATGCATATATAATCTCCATGTGAATATAGGCATGGCGTTTACTATCTCCATGTGTATACAAGCGTGGCAGTTACAATATCCATGTGACTACAAGTAGGCATTTATAATCTCCATGTGAATATAGGCATGGCGTTTACCATCTCCATGTGAATATAGGCATGGCGTTTACCATCTCCATGTAAATACAGATGTGGCAGTTACAATATCCATGTGACTACAAATAGGCATTTATAATCTCCATGTGAATACAGGCGTGGCGTTTAACGTCTCTGTGTGAATATAGGTGTGGCATTTACAATTTCCATAGGAATAAAGTGTGGGGTTTATAATATCTTTGTGAATACAGGCGTGGCAGTTTGTCTCCATGGGAATAAATTGTAGCATGCGAATACCACGTTGTGATTGAACATACATTTACAAATTGAGTAACAAATGTGGATTTATAGGAATGAATGGTATAACACATGTATGACAATCTTACAATTGCCCCAGGCGCGAGCACCCCCCAATGCTGGCGTTAACATACACATATATCCCATAATGCGATGCTACAAGGACGTAATTGTGAGCGTTTGTCACTTAACCGAACATCCAACATCCGCCCCAAACGTGTCATCATATTCCGTTTGTATATTGTGTAACATACTGTTTAATGCGAATTTCACACCAGATATAATCCGTCTTCTGGATAATCAACAACAACAGGCAAAAAAAAAGGACAGAACTACATTTAATTATATTGAAATCAATCATTGTTCTCAATGCACTATACTCGGGGGCGAATCTACGTCACAGAATGTTGAAGAGCCGGTGAAAACAGCACATTCCTTTCCTATACATCTATAAAATATTATAGAAATAAACATTTTTTTGATTATCCATTTGTGAGATGGCTTTGCATACTTTTCATCGTTATTCTAGTGTAGAAAACTTGTACCATGTGGTATGATCATATACATCTCCAGGATTCAAGACAGTATTTGGAAAATTTGGCTGAAAAACAAAACAAAAATATCTTATTTTGAAACAAGAACTTTAACTAGAACTATTTGAGATGTAGACAACACAATCCTGAGTTACGTGAGCAGAACAATCCTAGACTGGCCATTCAATTATTCCAAAATCATATATGATCCTATATATACTAATTTATTGATGATATTGTTTTCAACCGCACTCTCAGAGACTCCTACCTGGTTTATGGCATTTGGATAGTTTTGATTTTCCAAACATAAACCTGAATGCTTAGGATAGGTTGCACCATTCTTGCCACAGGCGAGACCATCTAAGAAATTAGCAGTGTAAAATTGAATACCAGGTTGTGTGGTGTAGACTTCCATCATCCGACTTGACTTTGGATGGTGAACCCTACGATGAAAAAGACTTGAAAGATGCATCATTGACATACAAAGAAAATATATTATTTATATCTCCCTGGCTGACGAATGACTATGGCCGTAGAGTTATCCAATGGTACACATTAAGTGATGTCAGGTGTCTCTAAATACATACATTTCTAGATTGTATTTCATCTTACCTTGCAGCCAAATGTTTCTCTTTATTAGACTGTAAGCAGTAATTATTATCATATCCTCCTCCTGGTACCTTATGAATAATATCACCAAGTAAGACAGGTGTTCTAAGATCAAATACACTGCCCTCTACTGGCAAAATCTCACCTAAAAATCAATTAAGTTCAATTGATCAAAATGGCAATTGAAACTGATCTGCTCCATCCAATTACAACATTCTCCATATAAATCTACAGGTGGGAGACTGCCATAACGACGACAACAACAACAACTGGTAATAACATGCCATACCTGTTGGAATAACAATATCGTCTACTGGCGTATAATAATCAGCATTAATCATTACAAGGTGGTCATAAATATCTACAGCATCCTACGTGAAAAGAAATGTATGCAAACATTATGCATCAACAAAGAAAATACCATATGCATCAAAATATAAAGCATGCTGGGTAATATGCACATTTTTCTACTCACATGTCCAGCTAGGTTGAAATAGCAGTGATTGGTTAAATTGACAGGCGTTGGTTTACTCGTGTTGGCAATATAATGAATAATGACTTCGTTATCTTCTGTCAGTTGGTATGTAACATGTGTAGCAAGCTCACCCGGATAGCCTTCCTCGCCATCGACACTGGTGTACTTGAATTTAATGCCGTCACCATCGATGGCAGAGTCCCATATCATCTGGTTAATAATATATACATATAATTACTGGTATTTATATATTTTCTATATTCACCCGGTATTTACATTTTGAAATCATGTTTGTACCATTGTTAATGAGGGACAGACCAGATGCTGAATTCACACATGGGCGAAGTATAACATTCAAACATACAGCCTGAAAACCTATCGCTATACCTTTCGTTGCAATTTACATAACAAATATATATAAACACAGACTTCTTGGTAAACCTTGGCATAATGACTACAACATTTCATTGGTTCATTTTCATTGGTTCTCAATACATTAATTTATGTAACAATGATTTTTTGTTAAAATTGATATTAAATTTAAATGTAGATGATCTATTCCAAGTATAGGATTTATTTTTTAGGATTAACGATTATAACGATTAAATATAATTATTATTTATACCTTATTTAGTCACATGTCACATTGTTCAATCACTTCTATTGATGGAAACACCATGAGAAAAGTGTGAGTAATCGGATATAACATCACGAGCCATCGCATGCACAGCGCTGAGTGTGTGTTAATTCACAGTATTACAACACTGTAGAATACTTTATTTTAGCTGGAATTAATTTTCGATGAAAAGACTTTTTGGGTGTTTTGTATGGAATTAATTTTCACTGATTTTTGACAAGTTGAATGTAAATTATAGGAATAAAGATATATTCGCGGGATTTCCTTCAGCGAAAATTAATTCCAAGCGAAAGTAAAGTATTTTACAGTAAATGTTTTACACTTTGTCATTTATTCCTCAGAATAATTCAAAATATACCACCTGGCATAGAAATAATTATTCTAAATCTAGTTTCCCCTCTTTTCCATCAGAAATCGCAATAGCCCAGTCCTTAGAGGCCCTGCCTGACGTGCTTAATGTTGTGGGTATGAACTCCTCATTTGGCCAACTTTTTCAATAGTTGAGAAAGAACTATATCTTCCCACTAACTCCAAACACTGCACCTTGACTAAGGCGGTACTGTCTTAGCCAAGGGGCAAGTTCTGATTTTAATACAATAGTGGTTTACAAAATATGTAACAGTTGTGAAGCTAAAACAATGTCAGTTTACAAGTCATGTATTGTTACACTTAGTATATAAATACAACTGTAGATATTGCATTCACATATGAATACAAGTTTGACTGGCCCACAATCTGCATAATTTACAATCTGGTATAATTATAGGTTATAACGCCACACTTTAGCGAGTGTGATTTAAAGGACTCTGACCAAAAGTGTGGACACTTTATATATTCATTGTATATAAACTGACACTTTCTTGCGGTGTTTCTAATCCATATTGTTCGACTTACTCTACTAAATCCATTAGGTCCTCCATGTATGTGGTTTGGTCCATTATTAATAGGTAGATTATATTCCTCACCATTTAGTACAAACTTACCATGGTGAATTCTATTGCAAACTCTACCAACTACTTCACCAAAATAGTAATTATCATTTTCATATCCTGCAGAGTAGAAACAAAAAATTAAAAAAATAGTAAATTGATGTAACACAAAATATATGAATGTCCTCAGAGATGAATATTACTTCACATAATATAATTAATATAAACAGGATATTTGGTCATAATTACAATCAACACTTGACATATAACTCAAATTAAGTACAAAATGAGTTAGCTATATTTATACATAACATGTATTATACATATGATAAGAACGTATGTGACTGTCATCATTTATTGCACACTGAAGCAATTGTTGGATAAGTGATGGGAAAAATGATGAGCAAAAGTTTGTTTTAAAGAACTCACTGACTTAGAAATATAAATATTCAATTACCAGTAGTTCAAAGTGTAGGCCCAACATTGTTACATGGGTAAATTTTTTCTCATCATTTAAAACTTTGCTAACTGAATTTTTTCTACCATTCACCTAACCCTGTTGATCACCAAAGGAACAAAGAAAATTGTCTGCTATACAGATGTTATTGATGTATATAAACGCTTTTGATATGAGCCAGTCTGTGACAGTAAATGGTGTTCAGTTTGATTGGATATTTGATTTCGCTGCAATTTGTGCAAATATGAAATTTGCCCAGTTAGATAAAATGATTAATTAAAAGCAATAATTCACTGATACGTTGAACACCAACTATCATGTTGACAACATAACATGTTATTCTATGATAAATTCATAGTACCAAAATTTTATTTATTTAAGTCCTACCTTTAACAGTGGCATGACCCAACACTATATCAGTTGAACCCGCGCATTTATTGGGTATTTGTATGGATGTTATGGTAGCACCAAGATCAATCAATTGCAAAACCATTCCATTCTTGTTCTTTAGTGTGTACCGCTGAACTACGTCGCCATTTGTAGTTTTTCCAAAAATATCAGTAGTAACAAGTGGGGAACTCATGACTGAAAACAATCACATGACAATTTTCAAGAAACAGGGAATATGAAACTCAATGTACAACTAAATAATAAAATGATCTGCTATCCCAAACAGAATCTCTAAGTCTGAAAACGTATTATAAAAATATTCATTGTACAAGTATACTGCATTTTACAATGTAAACAGGGTTTCTATCGTGTGTCAAACAGATAGGAGTTAAATTTTACGCATAATTTTAACAGGTTTCACATAGCAGTGGTGTTGCAATGCCCCATGCCGAAGTGCGCCCTCTTCTCCGGGTGTTGGAAACTATGATACTGTTATATTTTGATCAGCTGTGTTTTCACCGTCTGGTATTAAAATTGAAAATATATCCCAGAAAATAAATAGACGTTCGGACTATAACATTGATTTTTTTACGTCTAAACGTCTGTTTAAATCATTTGCTAATAAGACAGTTTGTGTACAAGTTGTGACGGGATCCATAGTCTATCCCACGTACAAGCCCGAGCACACGCCCACCGTCGTCATCCGTCGGCACAGCGTGACCCATGCCACCGTAATCACCGGATCCAGACTACCAACAATCCATATCGAATAAACCAGCACACTGTATATGTGATTACTGATAGTACTATACCTGCTTATTCCACTTGGTCATGGAAAATACCATAAACATGTCCGGAAACACCACGTAACCAGAAACAGGCAAGGACTCTGCAGCTGACCACTGTCCCGACAATCCCGTTGAGGGCAGCAAATACTATAGTTGAAACTCTACTTTACGACGAGTCGAAACATAGACAACATCGGGG